AGAACATATTTGAAAACCAAGAGATGTGTTTGGAGTTTGAACAACATTAGATACAAGAACCAATTCATATTTTAGAACTGCTGGCGTGTAATGATATGGTTATTTTCCACCGGCTTTTCCGTTCGCATTTAGCTTTAACACGCGTCAACAGCCTCTAATTTTTGTGGTCTGCTCCAAAAGATAGAAGTTTCATAACTGAAAAGATGTCATCTCTTACTTTTGAGAACGATTCTGCACTTCTGCACTCTCCAATTATGGTGAAAGCCGACTGAGACCTTTCATCATTTCGTGCAAAATTCTTTTTGAACATTCTTTACACACATAAGCTTGTTTTAAAGAAGTTAAGGACCTCACTCTTACTCACTTGTCCTTATCCGCGAACTACTTTTTGAGTAACACATCAACCAAACAAGGGATTTAGTAGTTTTCTTTAAGGCCATTTATGACATAAATTTTATACGAGTTTATTCAGCTTAAGTCACAGCTAGGTCCACTCGTCATAGCTGTTCAATAGATTATCAGCCTTTCAGGAGCAGAACGTCTCTTTTTCATCGTAGTTATTTCAATATAGCTTTTAAATTATGAAATCAGTGATTTCGGCGATGAGAACATGCTTTCAAAGCAGCATTAAGGTTAACGTGCACCTTCAGGGGTGTCTCGCGTGCAAGCGATGTAGCGCGTCCGGTTTAAACTGTAGATATCTAAACCCCTATATTAAATTAAAGCTTATAGGACTGGCTATCAGACTATGCAAAAAATTTTGAAAAAAATTAATTGTCGAATTTTTCACGACTTCTAAATGTGAGCGCCCGAGTCACCTTTTGAACGTTACATGTCAAAGCGAATTTTGTTTTTCGCTTATTTAATGTGTCCCTCCGTTTCCGAGGCCAAAGCGCTAAAAAAAAAACCTGTCTGCGATTTGCCATATTCAATTTCAGTGAAAAGTTACAGAACATTTTTGAAATAGGATTAAAACAATGTGGAGTGATCGTACAAAACTCGCTCTTTTAAAAAAAGGAGTTAGAAATAAAAAATTCGGAGACACGTGTTTGTCGTTTATATGTAAAACTAGCTACTGTCAAAATTTGAGAGCAATCGAACAAATTCCCTTTGACTTGTAGCTCTTAAAAGGTGACTCGGACGCTCGCATTTAGAAGTCGTGAAAAATTCGACAATTCATTTTTTTTTCGAAATTTTTGGTATAGTCTGATAGCCAGTCCTATAAGCTTTAATTTGATATAGGGGTTTAGATATCTACAGTTTAAACCGGACGCGCTACATCGCTTGCACGCGAGACACCCCTGAAGATGCACGGTAACCCTAACTAAAAACTATAAGAAAGTCCTAACTGAAACGTTTTATCAGGATAATGTTTAAACTTGGAAGTCCTTGTATCCCAAGTCTTATTCCATCAGGAATTTAACTAGTTTTCGACAGTGTTGTTTTTGGGGTATAATTTGAAGTTATAAAGAGGATTTTTTATAAAGTATATCATATTTTTTGTATATCGTGAGAAGGAATCTATCTTTATATTTATTTTCTATAATTTTTTTTCATTTCAACCACATTTATTATCTTCTATTTTCTTTCTCTTCCTTTGGGCTTTACTTAGTTGGAGCTGATGCTCTGTTGTGATCGTCCCTCAATGAATTTTCTTTTTTGTTATTTCAACTATTAGTCTATTCTTTTTGTAATACATTATGCACTGAATGGAAGTTTAATAGATAAAAATAGCACCCAAAAGTATGTTATTTTATAGCAGAAAGCATTTAAGTTTTACTCGTGTTATTTCTTTTATCACAGTTATTTTTAATGACATGCAAAGCAAGCAGTTGGAAATGATAAATTAAAAATCTCCTGTTGCGGCTGCAGTTGTGAACCTCAATGGTAACACGTTCCAGATGGTTAAGATATATTATGACTGAATTGTGTAACTTGGGTGATATCAAATCAGTTTACTTTGGAGTCACCAACTGTATTTTTTCTTAAATCATTTATTTAGTCTGTTCCACCTTAAAAATCTCTTATCATAACCATTAGCAAGATATTTAAAATCTCTCGCCATTAGATATCAGTTCGTTAGTGTTGCCATATTAGATTTTCGTTCTCATAGTCAGCGTTTATTTTAAAAGGTTTGCACCACTCTTGATGAAGAATTATTATAGAATGATTTCCTAAATTACGTAGCTTTCCTCCAGAGTTTTGACCATGATCCTCCTTGCTACATAAGCAAAAAGAAACGGTCAACGAAAGACTACACCTTAACAACATTAGGAGGTAAAGAGAACCAAACAATCTAGAGCCCTGTATGCCCAGGATCAAGAAACTCGATAGCAGGTCGCTGAGGAAACACATCACCAAAAAAGCCCAGGAGGTAGTAGAGAAGGCACTTTGATGCTGGCACCTGCCTCCTTTCCTCGTGATCCATGTTCTATTTTTTTATTGCTTTTAAATTTGGTTTCAGGTTACTATTTGTTCTCGTTCTCGCTTGACGGAGTTTATTGTGATTTTGTTTAACAATCTGCTCCAAGAGCAAAACTTCTGTTTTTCTTGGATCTCGTGTTAATTATTATATCTTTCATTTTAACCATAGTGATTTCCTATCAGTACTGAGTAGCCACTGAAGCCCACACGCTAAGAGTACAAGTCTACACTTTGCAGATTACACTGAAGACTGGCTGAGGCTAGTTCATTTGAAGCATGGGTAAAAGTTTGGTCCACCTGATTAGATATCTCTGCTTCGTCTGTATGTTCGCTATTATGGGGTTCCTTAAAAAGATTAGATCTGCTTAAAGAGGGTTAGTTTCTGGTGCTGGTCGGTAGGGGGATTTACAAGATAATCTGGTTTTCTCAACTAAGTTGATAAAGTGAGTTGGCCACCTGTGAGAGTTTCCGATGTTGGCTAACGCCCGAAACTCTCTGCGTTGGTCAACCTGAACCCTATAACCAAATTATTAATGTGATCTGCTTAGAACATATTACTCATTCTCCTTCAGAAATGTTTGATCACGTTAAAAATATTTTTCTGTCCTTTGTAATCCATGGAGTGTAGTGCCTAGTTTCAAACGTCGAACTTTACATGTAGTTAAATAATTTGGATATATCAACAAAGTTGAAGTGGTAAATTGGCCACCGTAACGATTACAAAAGCTGACGTTTCGAGCGTTAGCCCTTCGTCGGAGCGAATGAAGGGCTAACTCTCGAAACGTCAGCTTTTGTAATCGTTACGGTGGCCAATTTACCACTTCAACTTTGTTGATATATCCAAATTATTTCGTTACTCCCACCGACGCAGCCCCAAACAGTTTCTTTCGAAACTATCAGCCTTTATTCATTTACATGTAGTTACATGTACAGAACTTTATTACGGCTCTAAGTTAAATGTATGAAAGGATAAACGTATGAACCCAAAATATTTGAAATAACTTGTTTGGGTCGGTACCAAAGTAAAGTTTGAGTAACGAACATGGAAAATTTGGCTGACGATTGCCTTTGTTAATTCCTTGTCCCGAATACATAAATCATTGAAAGTCTGTTATTACGCGAGTACACGAAAAGGGTGCCTGCTTAGTGACTAATTCGCTCATCTTAAGAGAAAAGGAAGTTGTTACTATTTCTAGACTGACATGCTAAATAAACAATTAAATACTGCAAGACGAAACGTCCACGGTTCTAAGCACCTCAGGGCTATCAAAGTACAGCATTTATGAGAAAAGGAGAGAGACCTGACAAAATGTCTCTGACACGATTTTTCAATTTGCGGTAATATCTTCAAAATTTCGAACAAGGTAGTTGTTCTGATTACAGAGATTGCAAATTCTTTGGTTTTACCAATACGACCGACGCTCTATTTATTCTTGACGATCTAATTTAGGCAACCAGCAAGTGGAAAAGTGGACAATGGGTCGCAGCTTTGACGTGTTTCTCCCACCTTTCGACAAAGACAAATTTCAGGCTTTTTTTCAGCAAAGGAGCTTGTAATTTTTTTTCAAGCCATGAATATTCCACTTGTTTTTATAAGGCAATTTCTTTGGATCGTTATGCTGAGTGATACAAAGTCTGACGTTCACACAGATGCAAAGGTTCCAACTTAGAACAAACTGGGATGGTTGACAAAGAAAATTTCTTTTTTCTTTTCCTCGTTCCAAGTAAAATACCGCCGCAATAGTTTGCATTCAAGACTTACTTCAGAATCTAGGAAGAAGGTTTGCGGATGCCGAAAATCTGCACATTTGTAGTATCAGTTAGTGTATCAATACTCTCCCAAAGAAAGACGTAAGCCGTTGCCATTATTTTGTAATCCATAGTGTCATGTCGAGTCGATTCTTATCTTCCACAGCACGCTTTATTGCTTGACAAACTAGAACTTTCACCAAAACCAAACGGCGATGACGTAGATGGCACAAATGAGTGATTACAGGCCAATATAGCAGTTATAAAAATAATCTTGTCATGAACAAGGAAATTCCTAGAGTCTAACACATGCCAACAATTTCTGCGTGAAATAATCGAAGTTGAGCAGTGAGTAACATTCACAAGGTGTACAGATTGAACATTTTCACATATTTGAAAGTAAACTGTTATTTAGATAGGCGAATGAAAGAAAATAAAATCATGTTTCAGCCTACTAAAATAAACCGCAGGTTGGCCATATAGTTGGTAGCTAAGTAGCTAACGAAATGGAAAACGATCAATTTTCAATTTGTCTTTTTCCGATGTTGTTTTCATTTCCTGTATGTGTTAAATCTGAATGTCTTAACAGCAGATCTCTTTCGTTCCATCATTCGATAGAAATCGGCTTTTGCTCCTCCTTAGATTTCCCACGTTCAGTATTCAGTCGACGTCAGTTATCTTTTCACTGGAAGCATATTGTTTGTCCTTTTACCCCTGTGGTGAATTGGCGACTCAAGTCTTAAGCACTGATATCGTTGAAAGCTCACTAAAAAATTTTGGACAACGTTATCATATCACCATAAACAGATACAAGAGACAAACGCCGCTCAAATTCTTACGCCATTTTAATCAAAGCTTTTCATTAAGCTCGTTACTCACTATTAAGTTCAGTATTAACTAATTAGTGGGGGGCTCTCTCCATACGTTAGAAAATAAAATATTTTGGTCCACTTTGATTTGATTTTGCTAGGTCATAGACTATTGAACAAAAGCGTACGCGCTTGTGACCAATTATGGCTTCTAATGAAAACGTTACACCCTGGTTATAATGAGCAATTTATAAGTTTAGCTATAAAGTTAAATATAATACAATTTCGCTTGACAAATATCAAAATGGAGCCAGTTATTAATATAATAAATTATCGTGGTTCAAAAAAACATCTTTCAAATATTTATGTCTAATGTTTGCTTGAAAACAAGCAATTGTATAGTGCAAATCAATTTGATTTTATAGGTCATGCGGCAAACTTGACTTGGACTCTAAAACGAATTCCTCCACGTATAAAATAAGTATTGAAAAATGTATTTTTTATATTTAACAGAAATTTAGCCTTTGCGTAGAAAGAAAAATAAATTAGCTTGAGTATTTGGCTTGATGCACCATCTACATCGTCCCTCAAGTCGGTATGTTCGCTGGAGTGCCATATCTAGTCAAGTCTCAGTTTAAAGTAGACATAACCTCAAAACAGCAAATTCAGCCATGTTGCCTGTTTAACATCTGTGGCACTAACAATTATTCTTTTTATATAGCTGAAACGTCTCCGTGAACTTCTCAGCTCTACCGGACGATAACTATTTGTAGTTCCTTATGATAATATAACATATTTCATTTACTCACTGAAGTCAGTAGTGAGGAACAATATAGGAAGCTCCGTTCGGAAAAAATATTCGAGTGTAAGTTGCTGCGGACGTAGTAAGTGCCGGATAACTGTGAGATCCTTTCGACAACTCCCGGCTCGTTTGATTTGTGTCCGTATAGTATTCCTCTTTTCTGAGGCGAGCTCTGCGGTTTGAAAACCACACCTAAAAGAGCAATGAATTAAAATATCTGATGAGAGAAATCTTTAATACTGGTGGTTGACAAGTTCATCGTCTCTTGCGCGTACGGATAACTTCCATTCTGTGATAGCCTCAGTTTATGCAGTGACGTCGTTAGAGAGATTTAAGAAGGTCCTCTGAAAAGGGATTACTTAATATAACGTCCTTTGTGCATCTCGATGTGACGAAGCATATTTAAGAGAAGCTCAGACATAGACATATTTATATATATAACATTTTATATGAAATATTATAGAAAGTGAAAAAAATTAGCCAAATTTTGAATATGCATACCATTCCCTTCTTCTTTTCAACCGAGGAGAAAGATAAACTTTTTTTCAATGATATGTCTACACTCTAGGTGGCATAAAATTTATATAGTCTCTTGCCTTGCAATTTTTCCGCTTTGGTATTCCAAACGCTCATCTTGACGCCTTTTTGTTTCCTAGCAACTCCGCTACACTATTTTGGAATCGACGATATTTGTGAAATATTTATTCATGATATTGATAGATAATGATCCTTCATGATAATGTTACTCAGGGAAAATGTAAACGATGTTATTTTGGACCGTGACGCCCTTGAATATATCAATTAATAGTCTGACTTTTTAAGGGCAGTATTTGATATCTTTTGACGATCTACATGGGACCCTTAAAAAGTAAAAATTGATATGTAAATATTGATTTTTTTTAAGAACGTGTAGATATGAGACCAACTAAATAGATTGTTTAAAAAACCGTTGTCCACCCCAAAAGCCAAAAACAGAAGAAAACATTTTCATATGATCTACCTCTGACACTTACCACCTACATCATCAAATACACCTACATCATCAAATAAAAGCACATTTCATACCTGAACTCTTGCTTCAGACAATTCTAATCTCTGCGCCAGTTCCTCTCGGGTATACACATCTGGATAATGGGTTTTGGTGAAAGCTCTCTCTAGCTCTTCCACCTGATTTGCGGAAAATTTTGTACGACCCCGACGTGGTTTTCGGCTAAAAAATAGCTCCTGGTTGCATCTTCCCGAGAAAAGTCCCTGTTTTCCTTTTGAAGTGCGTTCTAGAACAAATTGGAAGAGTATTTTCGGTAAATAATCATGTCGATATTGTCACCGTCGGTGTAAGTATTAGTGAAGGAGCCCGACGATCAGTGGCATGGTCAAATATATTTTACCTCTTCCTTTCGTTTGTCTTGTATCAGGCCGACAAAGTTACCCTCGGGGGTTATTTTACATTTAACACCCTCTCTGTTAGGCACGTGCAATCCTTGATACGTATGCTCCAACCATTCACTTCCTTTCAGGCGTAATGTCCCTGAGCAGTCTATGGCACTTGACTTCGTCGTTATGTAAGGCGCGGTTTTTGTTTCTTACATAGTCCTAACAACAGAAACTTGCAAATTGGACTTGCTTTACCTATACTACTTTTTGGAAATACAATATTCCTTGTCACTTAGGGCAAAGGAGGCACTAGTCTGAAAATTGCAGGGCTCTCAAAGGGAACCCCCGATTCTGTTTAAAAAGAAAGATCAAGAATTAAATGGATAGGATAGGTTAAGGTACCTGCTTTTTCATCCCGTATCTCCACATCCTCGCATTCTTCTTCTTGTATTCCATTTTCGCATGCCTTTATCTCCTCGCTTTTTCCCGCCAAATTTAGAATGTTAGAGATAGAGAACGACGCTTCAAATTTTGGATTTTCGGTGATGTCTTGTTCCTGCTTAGCCGATTCCGAACCAAAGAAGCTGGGTTCGAAATTCGCCGAGGAACCATGGGGAAATTCACGATTAACTTTGTTACTTTTGCTCTTTAGCAGTCGGCTTATTGCTTCCATAGATGGTAAATTTGCTTTGATGCATATTCCTTCTGAGAGCAAGCGATCTCGCACTTCCCAAGAAAATATATCAGGTTGCTCATAGACAAACGCTTCGATTCTTTTGGTTATTTCTGGAGTGACATCACGGCTCTTAGAAGAAGGGATGGCTCCGGGCTCAATGGAACCAGTCTCGTAAAATTTGTTAAGGATCTTGCTGACACATCCGTGGGAGATGCGTAGCTGTCGGCTTATGTCGCTTGCTCTAACACCTAAGCGTGCCAGTTGGATAATTCTGATGCGCAGTGCTTTAGGTAATGGCTTACCATTGACAAAGACACCTCCAAGTTGATTTACTCGCTCTTGACCTACGAGAAGATCGATGTTTTAACTTGGACAGACCGAGCGCTATGATTTTATTTGGTTTCCGAGCACAGTACATATTCATGTGGGGATTATCGGTGCTTTCGATAATCATTTAGACTCAGCCAAAATGTTTGTTTTAGCCAGCATGGCGAATATGAGTTTCGATGAGATTTTCATTATTTACTAATTCTTATTTGTTACTTTTTTTAATCTACTTCAGTCTCACAAAAATCGAAGTATTAATTTGTAAACACTGGTAAACATAGTGGCAATTTAAGTGACACATGAATCGCGTTGCCTCAGCAAGAAACATTCAAAAACTATGCACATGACTTCTTAGAACTACTATTAATGATCGTAATCATTCATGGAACGCGTGAAAAAGATCAAGAGAAAAATTCCTGAACACGAATTAGGCCCTTGTTGCAACATAGCGTGGCATATAGTAAATTTTACCTGGAAATAGAAGAGAATCCATAGCTAATCAGTATTTGCAGCTTTGGTATGCACTGTTATCCTTTCGCGGGAACTGGTGATAACCTTCTCCACCTGTTTCACCGTAACTGACCGTTCACCATCGAGTGAAAGAATTATGAGGAATGAAATCTTAACGTAAACAAAGGTAAAGCGTTTGAAATGCAATTATGTTCACCTGACTGCTGATTAGATCTTAACATTTGCTGAACTGCTATTGTCTACGGGGCGCTGAAGCTCGACTCACTTTTGCATAATCACATGTTTACTATTCATATGACGTGCATTACACGTCACTAAGTAATTGATGAATCATGGTGCCAGCTGTTGTTTGCCTTATTTGTCGATGCGCAGTGTTTGTTTTGCCATCTGTTGTAGTAACAGATTAGACTTCTTTGTGTGGAAAGCACGGAGTACGCATTTTTCCTTAAGAATTGAAACATTTTATTAAAATTACATAAATGAACCCTTTCGACATGTGGGATTGTCATATTCACAGAAAGCTCTACTTCAATGGCAATTAACCCGGTTGCGGGTACATATAATGAGAATTGGTACGCAACTACAACGTATAGCACTTGAAAAATGGAAATAGAAAGATAGCAAAGTGAATAATTCTACTACTTTAACTGTTCGAATTGAACAGACCTCAAGTTCATAATAAATTCGTTAAAAATTTCTTGTATATCTCAATAAATTAATTTAATGACAGATGCATCTTTTCAGAAGCACTTTCAAGTTCAATACAGTTAAGTTATTAGTAACGTAAAATCCGCTTAACATAAGTCTTCGCTTTGTGTTTATTTTGTTCTTCCCTAAAAGGCCGCTACACAGCTAAGCGCAACTTAAGTGCCAACCAAATATTGCCTGACTTTCCGCACGAGCGGTAACACTGGTTCAGTGAGAAAAGTAAGATACCACAAATTCAAATGTGGGAGCCCCATAAGCATTTTTGTGTCAACAACAAGGACATTAACTTGCATCTTCAGTACAGCAGCTGCTCCATCTTACAAGACTTGTTCCAGTAGAGCTTGAACCTTACAAACGTCATGCTTTTTTAGAGATGTATCTCAAGGCATACACGTGAGACGTCCAAAGAATTACAATTGCGTGGAATTATAAATAAATTGTAACATTCATACTTGAATGCCAGCACTTGTTTGATGAACTCTTAACGAGCTACTAGCTACCTTTGTTTGAGATATGTTGATCCGTAAAATATTTAATAATGGCACCTTAATCAAAACGTATTTGCAAATTCAAATTGTCTTTGCCTTCTGAAATGCTAACAAACCTCATTAACAAGTTCAGTCTCAATTCAAAATTGTGAAGGCATTTGAAGATTGTTTTGAAGGTAAATTATCTTTGTTCACGCACTATAAGTGTAGATATTTATAACTATCAGAGTCTAAATATCTGACAGAAATAATATGTGAGATGCTTATATTGTCGTTGCCTATTTCGAGAAGTACCCCAATATAACCGCTTCGTAGTAATTTCGTAGTACCCCAATATAAACGCTTCGTGGCAATTTGTATTTAATGATAACAACACTAACAACAATGATGCTAATAGGTGACTACATCGGGATACAAACGATTATACTTCATTATGAAATTATAAGACTGTAAGGGAATTTGTATTACATGTGATGGGAATGAATTTCTGGAAAAAAAAACATAACATAGTGGACAAAATATCACAAGAGAACAAAAAATAAAAGAACATCTTGCCTTCTCGGATCAAAACATATATACAGAAGCTTTATAATAAAACCGAATATTTTACCACAGAAAGAAAAACTTTGATGATCAAAAGTATTTTATTACTCGGGCTTCCGTAGAAAGCCCGAGTCTGAAAATGCAAGCCGTTTTTGGTCGCGTTCCTTGCGTAAACTGCGGAAACTGAGGATGAGAGTAAGACAACTTGCGTTATCGTGAGCTCGCTCTTCGTAAACAATGTAATTTACAGAATAATTTTGGATACATCAACAAAGTTGAAATGGTAAATTGGCCACCGTAACAATTACAAAAGCTGACGTTTCGAGCGTTAGCCCTTCGTCGGAGAGAATAGAGGAATTGTGGGTTGTGTGTGCTTTTAAAGGCAGAAAATGGAGCTACAGAATGCTGGTTTTTGGGAAGACCGCCTTGCAAAGATTCCTATCTTATAAGCTCATCCCACTTGAAAATGCACACGCCGTTCAGGGTAGGCCCACGCTAAATGATGTCGAGTGTTTTCGGGATGGGCCGGTCCACGAACTTCATTGCTTGAAAGCTAGCCAAATGTGGAAAGTTCATACTCGTTAGTTCTCACGAGATAACAAATGAGCCATATGTTAGTTCAAACTACGAAAATGCAAGCAAAACTGTGACGGCCGATTTAACAACAAACTATGATGTTGAGACGAACACCTCACTGGCTCAAAAAGTCACAGGCTTACCATCTTAAATATCTGTGGTTTTGGGTTTCTATGGTTTTGGGTTCCTGTGGCATTTTCATAGCCGTTATCAATGTAGTTCAAATATATTGCCTTGAGAATCTGTCCCTAGTAGTCAGTCTTCAAAAAAAATCAACTCCTAATAAAGATTAATAGTTCGTTACTTGTTTGGAAGTGTTTTTTTCTGCCAGAAAAGCCTCAAAATCGCTCGTTTGGGGCTTTCAAAGTTCGCGGTTAATTCGGCTCGCTCTCCCTAGTAAAAAATGCGACAACGCAAGCAGCTTAGGCCTCCAGATCCCACACCACCTCGTATTTGAGACAAAAATGTTTTACCTTCTAGGTCTTATTTTCCCACTGAAACGCAACAGGCCACAGAAGGATTATCCAGCTGTTACAGTGACTCAGTTTTGAATCATTCCATTCAACGGTTTACGAGAAAATGGCACGCAAAGTCGTAGATTTGGAGCTCTTCTAGGGATCGGGACATGAGGGGTACTCAAAGGAATTCCAAACATGCGTTTCGGCTATCGTATCTAACACTCAATGGGTTTTCCTGAGAATGTTGACAAAAACTATCTCGATTTTTATTGGTCGATCTTGGCTTCCGACATCCGCCGGAAGTACAAAGTAGCGCCTTTGGGGCCCCGACAGGGAATACAATTTTCACATTTTTCACGTTTTTGTACCTCGGGTAGGGTGGCTGGGTCCGAAATTCGATAACCGAAACGCATGTTTGGAATTCTTTTGAGTACCCCTCATGTCCGGATCCCTAGAAGAGCTCCAAATCTACGACTTCAGCTGGATGTTACTAACACTAGTAACGGGGAACGGGGAACGGGGAACGGAGAACGGGGAACGGGAAACGGAGAACGAGGAACGGGGAACGAGGAACCGGCAACGAGGAACGGGCAACGAGGAACGGGAAACGGCGAACGGGGAACGGGTGTACAGTGGTAACCCACCAAAGAATTCAAAATGGCGGAGTAAACGATGTTTACAAACACTGATTTTATCGCTAGGTCGCCGCTTGCAGCGAAATTAGACGACTCGCTTTAATTTAACTATTGCCCAGGCAAAGCCACGAAGCCTAGTATTCTGAGGCGAGAATTCGAAGTCAACGTTTCTGCAATGGCTGCCCCATTTGTTCTGACGTCTCTCTTCGTTTTTCCTTCCTGAATTCTGCATCTTTTGGCAGAGTTTGGGTATGTTGGTTGTTTGCATTGCCCAACAGCATTTTTTGCAGATAAGTAGGAAGGAGGTAATATATTAGATTAACAGAAATGAGCTAGGAAACGTAATAACCAGCCTAGTTATTAAAAATACTACATGCAGACATCTGCCTACCTTACCGCAAAATAACATCAGGAACATACCCTTGTATCGACCCATAAACTTCCAAGGAAACAATAGAGAAATCAAACATTGACAGAACTGTTAATAACATTTAATTTAACATGTTATCTAACATTTAATTTAACATTTCATCTTAGAAAGGCCCTCAAAAAAGCTTTGAAGACATGCTAAAATATGAAAAAATATGAATGTGAAAGTCTACCAACCTAGGTTAAAATTGTCTTTTATCGCAATTAATAGCATTTTCCTTCGTAGACATTGTTTTCAATTTCCTAAGAAATCATTTTAAGCGACAAAATTTACTGTTCAGCTGTTTGCTTTACAACATTATTGATATTGCTAGGTTGTAACGGTGAAGATATTTGAGGTAAACTTCATTACTTTGCAGTACAATTACTCTATGAATATAAGAATAAATGCCGCGAGCTTGTAGTTCTGAGTTGATTGTTCAAATGTTGTGCATGAATTGTAAGATACTCACCTCTCCGAGGATTTGATTTCTGTGCTACCTGCAATGTGTGCCAGACAAAAACTAAATATATGAGGCAATCAACATTTCAAAGTAAAATCCTTCAATAAAACCACAGGCAGCCCAAGCTCACTGTAATATTCCTAGAAGCCACTAAGGTCGATATCTCGCACAACACACTGTCACCCTTCGAATTTCCGCTCTTTCTCACATACACGCACACTCTCTCGGTCACCTGACCACTGTGTATAGTCCCGGATGTCCACAGGACACCACATCTTCCTCTTTCTCCGTTCATAAACTCTGACATAAATTTAAACAAAATAGCATGAAAAATGTCAACAATGTCCGATGGGGTAAATACAAAACTGTAAGTACAATACGATCAAAGTCAGTGTCACTTGAAAACCATAACCACTAGGTGGTGACCTAGTCACTGAGTCTCTCATGAGGTCGGGTAACTCTCCCTGATCTCCTTGGTAACAGCTGTGGCTGGGTAGGGCTCTGCTCCTCCACTGGCCATGCACTAGCTCCAATCTCTGGGCTGGGTGTGAGTCCTTGTCCACACCCTTGTTCACAAGGTACTTCTGCAGGCTCTGCAGGGCTCGGTCACTTTGGCTCTGTAGCTGGTGTAACAAACTGCTTGACATGCTGAATGTTTCGCTTGTATTGCACACCTTGAGGTGACTTTCACTGGACTTGATCCCCACGACGTGCTATCACCTGGTATGGCTCTTTCTCGTACTGTGGTGACAATTTATTCTCCTTCCTCTTCTCCAGTAACACAAAATCCCCTTTTTGTATGCCTTTCTCTGCTGCCTGATGCCTCTTGTCGGCATGGTCAGCCCCAACCTGCTTTTTTTCTGCATCGCGATCTCTGGCCTGCTGATATCCCGGGTTCTCAGATTCTTCTAGATCAGCAACCTCCGGCAACTTAGTAGACAATTTCCTCCCGAATAACAGTTCTGCTGA